ACCACCAAGCCTCGGCCCACAAACCCACTCCCTCCCTCTCCATGGAGGCCAGAGCCCTGCAGGGCTCGCTTGACTCATGGCCTTTTCACCGCCTTCCCTGACACACTGCTCTTTCTGAGGGCAAGGCCTGTGTGTCTCTTGGATCTCCTCTCTCTGCCATCACCTAGCCCAGTGCCTGGAATACAGGTGTGGGAATAAATACACGCACGTGTTCCCCAGGGCTGCTACCCCTCATGGTCTAGGCCAGCGGTTCTCAACCTTCCTAATGCCGCGACCCCTTAATACAGTGCCTCATGTTGTGGTGACCCCCAACCATAAAATTATTTTCATTGCTACTCTATAACTGTAATTTTGCTACTGTTATGAATCGTAATGTAAATATCTTTTTGTTTTCCGATGGTCTTAGGCGACCCCTGTGAAAGGGTCGTTCGACCTCCAAAGGGGTCACGACCCACAGGTTGAGAACTGCTGGTCTAGGCCTACCTACCTACCCAAGCTGACTTCTGAACCTCAGAGTTTTGAACTTAAAAGACTGAGGCACAAATAACCTTGCTTACAGAATGTGATGCAGATTTTCCAAGAGATAGTTCAGGAGCTTTTAATCATAAATGGGAAATGCTTACAACAGTTTGGGTGAAAACACAACAGCACACAAAACTGTGTGAACACAATGACCATAGCTGTGTGCACAGAACCCCCGGGGGGCTTCTGGATCAATGTGATGAACTTTGCTGTCTGGATTCATTGAACCAAGAAGGTTCTGGGCCCGGGGACATCAGCCACAGGGAGGCAAGTGAGCAGTCCTGTACTGCAAATGCAGAAGATTCTTCCTTAGGGAAAATGACCAGTCTAACAGAAGGTCATATAGCCATTGTCACTAGGGACCTGCCAGAGTCCTCCCTGATGGCCCTGTCTCAGACTCACAGCTTGACTAGCTCCACTTACATGCTCCAAAACAGCCATTTGGGTCCTGACTCTTAAATTTGGGGTCTAGGCAGGACTCCTAATGGACTGCCCAAAATTAGTAGACATCTGAGGAAACTTCTAATATGAAAGGCAGGGATGAAAATAGATAGAAAAAGGAACTCAGAGGAAACAAGACAATATAGAGAGCAAAAGAAAGCCATAATAATAATAATAATAACAGTAATAATAATAATAATAATAATAATAATAAATACATAAAACAAACAAACCCCAAACCAACAACTAGTAAATAACTCTATGACTTATATCTTCAGAGAAGCTGCTATGTCCATATTATGTCTACATGCAGCTAGCTATAGGAAAAGTCCCTAGGAAATTGAAAAACAGAAAGTGGAAATAAAAATTACAACAGAAGAATTAGAAGCTGAGGTAGGGAATCTCTCATTAGGTGGAATGAAAAGACAAATGTAATATGGGAAAGAGAAGAAAAAATAAATAAAAATAAATACAGGAAGTTTACAAATGAATAATAGGAATTTCAGAAACAAAGAAAAGATAAATGGACAGGAGAAATTATTAAATAAATTATACAAGTAAATGTCCAGAAATCTGAGGACATGAGTTTCTAGATTGAAAGACTTTATCAAGTATCCAGCCCAAGGACAGATGTGGCAAGATGCATTGTGAAATTTGAAGCAGCCAAAATAAATAGGAGGTCCTAAGAGTGACGAGAGGGGAATAATGCAAGTCTTCAGGAATCAGAATGGCTTTGGGCTTCTCAACAGCAGTTCCAGGAAATGGAAGACAATGGAGCTATGCTTTCAAACATTATTTTAAAAAATGGAAAGTTATTTCCAACCTAGATTTCTATATCCAACTAACCTCTCAAATCAAGCATGAAGGCAGAATAAATATATTGTCAGATAAGCAAGGTCTCAAAATTTTACCTTTCTTGACCTCTTTCAAAGGAAGATCCTGAAAACAGGAGACATGGGATCCAGGAAACAGGATCGAGAAAACGGAAATTTCCAAGGTGACAGTGATGGGAGGTCCCTGGATGGCAGCTGTTCATGGGCTCAGAAATAAGCAGCATGGAATGAGGAATGTGAATGGGTGGGAGGTCCCAGAAACAGAGTTCCTATGAACCTGATGTGCTTGCCTGTGTTGAAGAGAGATTTCCATTTTCCTCTGGCAAGTAGCATCAAGATTGTGGAGGGTTGGAGCACACAGACTGCTGTTTTTCTTTATAAGCTCAGTAGTGCTGTGATGGTTGGTTTTCTGTATCAGTTTGGCTAGGCTATAGTCCCCAGTTACTCAGTCAAACACTAATCTAGGCATCGCTGTGCAGGCAGTTTGCAGATGTGATTCAAGTCCATAATCAACTGACCTTAAGGAAAGAAGATTATCCCAGGCAATCTGGGTGGGTCTGATTCAATCAGTTGAAAGACCTTAAGAGCAGGACTGAGGTTTCCCTGAAGAAGAAATTCTACCTGTGGACTGCAGCTTCAGTTTGTGCTGGAAAGTTCCAGCTTGCCCTTCCTGAACCCCTGACCTGTGGGTTTCAGACTTGCAAATCCAGTCTCACAATTGCATAAGCCAATTCCTTGCAACAAAACTATTAATACGTATCTCCTACTAGTTCTGCTTCTCTGGTTGAACCTGGACTGATATGTTTTGGATTTTTTAAGTAGCTATTTAAAGTATCTGGATAAAACTGTACGTTGTCGTAAAAATAAATAAAATTTCAACCACTCAGAAAAAGAAAACAGAAAAGAATTAAGTAGAAAAAAACTGGAAGAAAACATATGAAAAATATTTTTTAACAGGTTTATGTTTATCTCAGGGTGGTAGAACCATAGGTATTACAATGGAGGTCCCCATAACAAACCTTTCTGCCCCCCCCCCTGGCTTTCCATCAGATACCACCTGTCATGAAGTTTTCTCTCTGGTTCTTAGAATGTCCCCTTAATGAGTTAAAGCTTATGAGGCATAAATTAAAAATAGAATGATACAAAATGATCCAACTTAGCTGTATGAATTTAGATACAATGTTTGAAGTGTAGGAGTGTGATGGACTTTTAGCAATATAATTAGTTGTTTACTGTAAACAATATTAGAAATGGAGCCACTTTAAAATGGAGCTGGTGCTACTATCCCAGAGGAACTACCTTGCACATCTTATACCTCAAACCTTGGAATGTTAAAAAAAACAGGGCAAAATCGCAAAATAACCTTTGGACTGGACCTAGGTCGACACTGTGTCCCAAAGGACTGTTTACAAAGATAAGAAAGCAGTTGACTACCGGACTGATGACAACTGGACTGAAAATTAACAATACTGTTTAGAATTAATACCATTATGTTACCGGTATGTTACCTGCGCCAATAGTAATTCCTTCCTTCTATTGATGTCCTTGTTCCCCTTCCCTTTCTCAAAAATACCCCTGGCCTGTGTCTCCTAATCGAAACTCTGTGTGGGCTTCTGTCTGAATCAGTGGGTTTGGAATAGCTGTTCTTATTGATCTCAGTAAATGCTGGTTGCCTCTCACTTTGAAAGGCCTTTTATTTTTAGATTAACTTTATATTATATCATTTAGAGTTCTTAGTGTCAAGAACAGAATTCACTGCAGCTAATATTTTGCAAGGAAGCGATTTATCAAGGCATGCTTATGCAGTTGCACAAAAACTCCAGGAGGGTGGATGATCAGACTTGGATGCCTGCCAAGGTGTCAGGAATATCACGGAGGGCTGCCTGGGTGGCCATTCGCTGAACCCCACAGAGGTCCCACACTGCAGCAGCCCAGGCTGGAGGTCTCTCCATCACATGTACCAGAAAGTGTTTCACATGGTGCCTGCTTCCTCACCAGGGACACTGGGAAAGTGCGTTTGAAAATGATCTGTTAGAAAAAGATGATTAAAACAAAAATGTTTTTTGAATTCTTACTGGGGTAACTAATTTGAGCCAAACAGAGAGTACACCTAAAAGCAAGATCTCAACAGACAGAGAAAAATGCTTCTTAGAGTGGCAGTTTGCAGCTTCTTTTATGCATTTGGAATTAAGGAGGGAACATAAGGAAGAGTATAGGAAGGTGGGAGGAAGCAAGGTGAGATTGGATTACGTGCTCTCTTCTGAAAAGAGGCATTTCAAAGGTATGTTAACCTACCAGATGCACAGAAACAATGGGCAGGGCTTGCTTAAGGCAAAGATAAACCTTTTACTAAAGAAGTTATAGGCCTGGGGCATGACTACTTACCATGACCTGCCCAGTTAGGAATTTATGATCAGATCACCCTGTGAGGTGACTTTCTGTAGAAACCCTTTTCATCCACAATCAGTATATCTGGCTTCTTTCACTCCGCATTAAAGACACAGGAAATTATAATTTTTCTTGTTTGTCTTTTTCCTCAGTGCTCTACAATGAGCAATATTAGTTTTTTTTGTAATTAGTAGTATCTTTAAAAATAGTAATAACAATACCTGCCAATTACAACATTTTCAGAAAACATAGAATTTTTTTGCAAGCAGAAATCATATATATATATATATATATATATATATACACACACAGATATATATGACATATATGGGAAAGATATAATATATAATATATAATATAATATAATATTATATATATATATATATATATATATGTAATGGGGTTGCAATTAAAATGTATTCTGCCCCAAATTTGTGTGTTGTCTCTAACCTTCCTTCAGGCCCTCACCTTATTACTCCCATCCCAGGCTGTTGGCACATCCTGGTAGATGTCTGCTAGCAGCAGGGCCTAACTGCAGGGGTCAGCAGGAGGCACCAGCAGGGGAGAGGCACAAACCTGTATCTTTTCTGTACCATTTCAGGGGCCTGCTGGGGCTGGCACTGAGGACAGAGACAGAGGGGTCTCCTTGTGCTTTGGCGAGCCTCTCTGGCTGCAGAAATTCCAGACGGAGCCTTGGTACCCCCATCTGGGAGGGGCTGTGTGTAAGCAAGAGCCAACAGGAAGAGGAGGGCAGATGACTGCTTTGTCAGCTTCTCTCTTAACCTTGAGCTGGAGGTTATAAGCTGGGCTCCCAGGGACCAGGGCCAGAGTCCCTGTCAGGTCCTGCTGCAGTGGGAGTCGTGGGGACAGCATGCTGGCCAGGGGACTTCCTTTGCGCTCAGTCCTGGTCAAAGGCTGCCAGCCCCTCCTGAACCCTCCGCAGGAGGGCCTCGGGCACCCCAGGGTGCCCACTGGAGAGGGAGCCCGCATCTCCACTCACGTGCCTCGCCCTATCAGTGAGATCCCCTCCCCTGGTGACAATGGCTGGCTAAATCTGTACCATTTCTGGAGGGAGAAGGGCTCACAGAATTTCCACTATCACCAAGTCCAGAACTTCCAGAAATATGGCCCCATTTACAGGTAAGCCTGGCAGAGAGTGGGGACTGGGGGGATAGGGAGTTTGAGGGGCCTAGACAGCCTTGCTGTGCTCCCCCTCCCCAAATGGTCTGCTTGCCCATCTTAGTTTCCTGTCCACCTTTTGGCTTTATTTCTTCCATGCCTAGGGATGGTGGCAGGAGAAGGAAAAAGGCTTCCCTGGCAGTGGGCTCAGTTCCCAGCTCTTAGGCCTCAACCCTTCTCAGGTCCTACACCCTTTGAAACATTATGGGGGGTAAAGAGGGATGGTAAAGAACAAACCCTGTTAACTGTCTCCCTATATCCATTATCCTCAGGACCCTTCGGAAGGTAAGTTTTATCATCCTCATTGTCAAAAGAGACTAAAGCTCAGAGAGGTTAGGATTCTTGCCCTGGTCACCCAGCTAGATCCCTGTCCTGCTGGGGTGCTGGCCTCGCCCCTCAGCCCTGTGCAGCCTGGAGCAGCTGAGTTTGTCCCTTTCACTTGGCCAGGCTGGAACCCCTCTTCTCCAAGCATCTGCCTTGCTTTCCTGCCAGGAGCAAGGGATTTTGGTCTTTTGGCCTCTGAGCACGGCCACTTCTGGGGCGGGGGTGGGGGTTGTGGGGGGGTCGTGGGTACAGGTATCTGAGGACTGCCCCCGGTGCGAGGCCTTGTTTGTTCTGGTTTAACAGTTTCTAAGGTAGGCCGCCTTCAGGCCACACCTGGGTTCTTTTCTGAGAGCCTAGTTGAGGGGAATGGGAGGTGGTGAAGGTGGTAGTGGGGCAGGGAGGGAGCATCAGGAAGGACAGTGCATTTTCCTCTGAGTGAAATGTTAGGATGAGGAAAGGGCATCACAGGGCATGTTGGGGCTTGCTGGCTGGGTTGGGTGGGGGCAGGAGGGCAGGCTTGTTTGTGGAAGGGTCAGGGGTCCAGCTGCTCATTTGACAGGGTCATATCCTCCCTCTCCCACAACTCCTTTTGAAGTCTAAAGTGCCTTTTCCCCAGCTGGTTTGGAGGCAGGGGGCCCCAGGCTGAGTGTCAGGCTTAGGGAAAGGTAGCTCGAGTCTCTCTTCTCTCAGGTAGGCCTGTCAGTGCCTCTGGCCCCAGCCTCCCTTCATGGTGTTCTCCTGCTATTCCCTGCTTCCTATCCCCAGCAGGAACCTTTATTTTATTAAACCCCTTTCTGTTTTCTAAATCGCTTTCACCTGAGCCTTGCAGCATGCTCTTGAAGTTGGTGTTATAATCCCCATTTTACAGATGTGAACAATGAGGACAAGAGTCTTGCCAAAGGTCTCATAGCTCATCAGGACAAAGCCAAACTGGAACTCCAACTGTCTGACTTCCAGTTCAGTGTGTCACCATTGTATTTTAACGTACAGCTGGAAATTATAAACTTCTGAATAAACACGAGGAATTTTAATTATACCTTTCATAGGTTTCTCTTAACACTAAGGCTGTTCCTGTCCATATTTTTGAACAATTTGGAAAATATAGACAAACACAAATGAAACGTTAAAATCACATCGAATTTCAATTTTGGTAACTTTTATGTACCGTTAGGAATGTGAATATGTTAGACTCACTGTTTGGTGTTGTCCCATAGCAATATAGCGAGGACTTCTTTCCTCTTTAATGTAAAAAGGCAGCATCATAGTGCATAGTATGAATAAGCCACATTAGCTAGTTTTTAAAGTGGACATTTATCCCACTCTGGGTTTTTCTGCTACTGGACGTGATGCCATGATGAACCTCCTCATCCATCAGGCATCAGGCCCCACGTCAGGTCATTGTCTGGGCTAGATTCCCAGAAGTGGAATTGATAATAACAGCAGTTCAAGGACCTTGCTGAACCAGGGTGGGGTATGGAGCTAGTGGTGTGAGGACATGTGGTAGCTGGAAAAACACTGAAGGGATTTTATGAGACTTGGGAAGGTAGGCTCAGGGCTTATAGGTCAACAATTAAAGCAGTATGCTCTCCTTCTCCCCCTCTTCCCCCAGAGGAGGGAGAGGGGAGGAGGGAGGAAAGAAGGGAAGAGGAGAGAGAGGGAGGGAAGGAGGGAGGGAGGGAGAACTTAGCTTGTACCTGTACGTATTTCTAATATTTTGCCTTAAAGTATATCTTGAATTGATTTTCTTATGCAAAAGACATACATACATAAGTGAGAAGTGGGATTTTCTGTGGTTTCCCAAAAGTTGTATTTTATTTTATTATTATTATTTTTAAAGACTTTTATTAAAAATATAGCTAACATACAATATCATATTGGTTTCAGGTGTACACCATAGTTGTTCAACATTTATATACCTAAAGAAGTGATCACCATAAGCCTAGCAATCATCTGACAATATTACTGACTATTCTCCATGCTGTATATTACATCCCCATGACTTATTTGTTTTATACCTGGAAATTTGGACCTCTTATTCTCCTTCACCTTTTCCCCCCTTTTTAATTTTCAATTACAGTTGACATTTGGTGTTATTTTGTATTAATTTCAGGTGTACAGCATATGGTTAGACATTTATATAATTTAAGAAGTGATCCCCCTGACTAGTCTAGTACCACCTGGCACTATACATAGTTGTTACCATATTATTGACTTTATTCCCTATGCTGTACTTATATCCCCGTGATTATCCAACAGTTGTATTTTAAAAGAGACTGATTGCAAAGTGTTTTGTGAGGTATATCTTGTGGACTAAAGAAGGGTTCTAGGGAAAGTCATCTCACAGGGTGATCTGATCATAAATTCCTAACTGGACAGGTCATGGTGGGTAGTCCTGCCCCAGGCATATGACTCCTTGAGTGAAAGGTTTTTAGGCAAGCCCTGTCTAGTGTTTCTGTGCATCTAGGTTAGCACACCTTTGAAAGGCCTCTTTCAGACCTCTCCTAATGTGTGACCACCCTCAAGAGAGCGCACTCTCGACAATCTTTAATCCAATCCCCACCTTGTAATCTTCTTTTCATTCCCTCCTTATTTCAAATGCATAAAAGAAACTGCAAAACTATCATTCTCTGGAAGGATTTTACATCTTGATTCCTGGCAATGGTCTTCAGTTTTGGCTAAAATAACTCATAAAAATTCTCTACAAAACTAAAAAAGAAAAGAAAAAAAAGATTAAAAAATTCTTTACAGGTTTGGATGTTTTTTACATCGATGACCTATATCTGGGGCAGTGTTGTTTTATTTTATTTTATTTATTTATTTTTAAATATTTTTATTTAGTTATTTATTTATTTTTTTAAAAAAATTTTAATATATATTTTTTTAATTGGGGAATTGGGGGATGGGAACAGCGCTGGGGAATCAGGGGGAAGGGGAACAGACAATTTGCTGTCCTTTTGTTCTTCAGTCTAGTTGTGGAGGACGTTGCTTCACTGGCCCAAGTTGGTACCATCATTGTGCTCTTCCAGGGCGAGGCAGATCAGTCGCTGGCTTCTGGACGGCTGCTCACAGCGGCTGCTTGGCCTCTCACGCTGGCTGCTGGCTACACACGGTAGCCCATGGCAACCCTCTGCCACAGGGGCTGCAGCCCACTCACAGCAGCCCAGCTCCAGGTTGAGCCGTTGTTCAGCATCTTAGCTGTAGAGGGCAGTGTCACTGGCCCTCATATGTGGGATTCAAACTGGGGCCCTCTGGAGCCCCAAGCCAGCTCTTAACCAACGCGCCACTCGCCCGGCCCGGGCAGTGTTGTTTTAATAGAGACAAAGTGCTTTGTCAGGCCTATGATTCTTGGAGGCAGGGTGGCCATGCCCAGAATTTTAATTCTAGAGCCTGGAAGGGATTGAATGGCTCGGTGTATGACCTGTCAGCAAGGAGTCATTCCAGCCCAGGGTCACTCCAACAGTGATGTGAAGGTGCCATGTTTCTGAGCCATGCGGTGGGTGAGAGAGTGCTGAGGGTGTGAACACACAGGAAGAATGAGCATAGGACAAGCACGGGATGTAGGACTTGATGGCCCATGGAAGGCTGGGGTGGGAACGGGACAGCTCCTGGGGGACGTGCTGTGGTACAGCAGCAGCCAATGTGATAGTACAAGAAACATAGAGCTGTCACTTACAGAATGCCTAATAGGAGTCATAACCATAGACTTCATATCATCTTATCCTCTGGCAACGCTGTGAAACAGGCGCTGTATTTTTCTCCATTTTATGAAAGAGGAAACTGAGACTCAGAGGGGTAAGAGCCAGCGAGAAGGTTGTGGAAACGATCCACTTCCAGGCCAGTCTGCTCTGCGCGCTCAGCCCTGAGGTGGTTACAAAGGAGCCGAGACCCCTGTCCTGATAGCCCGGGGTCTGCACTGCTCTCCTTGAATCATTAGGTCATAGTCCTTCTCCTCTTCCCTTCCAGGGAGAAGCTTGGCAACATGGAGTCAGTTTTTATTATTGACCCTGAAGATGTGGCCCTTCTCTTTAAGTATGAGGGTTCCACACCAGAACGATATTGCATCCCTCCCTGGGTTGCTTATCACCAGCATTACCAGAGACCCATCGGGGTCTTGTTCAAGTGAGTCCTGGGTCATCTCCCAGGGGCTGGAGGGAGATGGTGGGCAGCTGTGGCAAGGGCAGAGGCTGGGGTGAGGGGCTGGGACCACGCTTGCCCTGCCCGTTCTAGCTGGGGCGTCTAGGCAAATCCATGTCATCTTTCTGCCTCCATAAAAGAGAGAATGGTGATGGTGAACTGCTATGGCAACCATCAGGGAAACAATCAGGCTGAAGGTTTCAATGAGTAATTAAAGACCTTGAGAAGTTCTCATTGGCTTATTCATTAAGTACCATCTTATTGACACCTACTATGTGCCAGGCCTTCTGCCAAGCTCTGGGGATTCAGAGATAAGTAGGGCAGAGCCCTGCCACTCTGAGTCCCTCACAGTCTAGAGGGGCAGTGAAACATGTGACAAATAGATGTACTTAAATATAGTGGATACTGTTTTCCACCAAATTACTCATCACAAATTTAAAATGTGACCATATCAAGTGTTGGTTAGGATGTGGAGCAACTAGAACTCTCATAGATTGCTAGTGGGAGTGAAAACTGAGGCCACCACTTTAGAAAATGGCCGGACATGACCTCCTGCAGTTGAATACTCACGTATCTATGATACAGCAGTTCTACTCTCAGGGATCTACTCCAGAGAGCATCCTCCTGGGGAGGAAGGTACTGGAATGTTGGCAGCAGTGCCATTCATGAGCTCAAAAACCAGGAAACCTCCTCAATAGGGGCATGAATGCATGAGTGGTGGCATATGCCACTCAGAATGAACAAACACAATGATCCCCCAACAATACAGATGAAACATAGATAAAATTGAGTGAAAAAAGCAAATCCCCCAAGTCAAGACAGCTTTTTTTTTTTACGAAGTTGAAAATAAGCATACATTTTAAGAAAGTATGCTTTAGAAATATGTCGAACAGATGAAACTATACACAAAAGCAAGTAAAGGAGTCAGGTAGGTAGTCCTCTTAGCCAGGGAGGACCAGGTGGGCACTCATAAATTACTGTCAAGTTCCTAGTTTTCCTATTGGGTAGTGAATTTATAATACCATTCTCATAAGCAAACAAAGCTCCCAAACTACAGAGGGTTTTGCAGGGATCTATTTTCAAGAATGGGCCATAAGCCGAGGTTTATCATTAACCCAATTCTGGGCACCTGAGGTTCCCCACCAATGTGAATAATGAGACATTCTAGGGGTGCAGTGGAGAGGTTGGTCAATTGTGTCAGAGTAGGTGACATACAGGGGCCCTTGAATAGCAGGAGGTGAGCCTCCTGTGGGAGGAAGGGGAAGTGGCGGGGAAGACATACCTGCAGCTGAGGTGAAGATTAGAGAGCTTGAAAGAGTCTTAAGGTCTCCAAGACTGAGTTCTTGGCTCACAGCAGCGGGGTGGTGGTGGTCAGGTTTTGTTCTTCTTCACCTGCTTTCTTCCTGTCTCCTCCCTCAGGCCCTGCAGAAGCAGGGAGCCGGTGCAAGGCAGAGGGTGTAGGGAGGCGGTGAGGGAAGGTGCTGGACGTGGGTGCTGCACTCTGAGCTGTGCTCAGCCTCCTGGGAGATCCCCGTCAGTCCTGTCTGTGTTTGTGAAGCCTGGGGTTTGTGACTGTGAGGGCCCGAGGGCCTGTGTTTCCTCAGGAAGTCAGGAGCCTGGAAGAAAGACCGGCTGGCCCTGAACCAGGAGGTGATGGCTCCAGAAGCCATGAAGAACTTCATCCCCCTGCTGGAAGTCGTGTCCCAGGACTTCGTCAGTCTCCTGCACAGGCGCATCCAGCAGCAGGGCTCTGAAAAATTCTCAGGGGACATCAGTGATGACCTGTTCCGCTTTGCCTTCGAGTGTAAGGGGATTGCACCTCCCTGGAAGCAGTCTCGGGGGTGGGAACACCCAGTGTCCCCCCTGGAGACTCTCAGCATGGACTCTGAGGAAGTGTTGAGATGGGCTTTGGGATGAGTTGCTGAACACACCCTCTGCCATCAGCTACCCAGGAGGAGCTGCATACTCTTATCTGGCATTCGTGCTATGGGGTCAAGGGTCTCCACACTGTGGATCCCCATTGTCACTACCTTCCAAAGCCAGAGCGTGGAAAAGCCCTCCATTCTGCAAACTGCTCCTGGGACATAGACCTTAGAGGTCTGGGAGGGTGTGGGAGGGCTGGGTGGTTCATCTGAATTGGGTATTCAAGGATGCGTAGGAGTCATTCGATGGGGTATGGAGGTTGGGCGGTACAGACAGAGGGAGCAGCACATGCAAAGGACCTATGTCCTGATGGGGATCACATGATCACTGCAGGAGATTTGGGATGCTCAGAGTTTGGTATGAAATCAACATTCAAATTCCTGACCCCAGAGGTGGAAAAAACTTGGGGTTGTTATAACTTCTTAGGTCTGCCAGAGTGAGTCCTAGATGGCCAATTAATGGGGTTTCATGTCTCCCATTCTCCCATCTGGCCTGTTTCAGGAAGTATTTGGCCAATTTGGTCAATTATAGATGAGAAATCTCTCTTCCCAGAGGCTGCTTGGGGTGCTGTTGGAAGGGTGGGTGGGGAAATTTCATCCCAGCCTGGGCCCTTTCCCAGCTCTGCTAGAGACTGCTTCCTACCTAAGTGATCCCTTTTTGGGGTCTTCCACTTGCCCCTAAGTGGTTGTCAGAAGGGCACTTTTTCTCTGCCCTGCAATTCCAACTCTATGGGCCCCAGGCCTCAGTTTCTTTACTGAAGGAGACTGAGGTCAGGTGCAGGAGATCCTGTGTGTTGGCAGGGGTGGGAGTGGGGTACCTGGGAGCTGAGGGTGTCAGATGGCCAGGCTGGAAAGGGCTCCTCAGACTGTGCCTATCCCTGTAGCCATCACCAACGTCATATTTGGGGAGCGCTTAGGGATGCTGGAGGAGGTAGTGGACCCTGAGGCCCAGCGGTTCATTGATGCCGTCTACCAGATGTTCCACACCAGTGTCCCCATGCTCATGCTGCCCCCAGACCTGTTCCGTCTGTTCAGGACCAAGACGTGGCGGGAACATGCGGCCGCATGGGATGTGATTTTCAATAAAGGTGAGAATTCCTCTGGCTGCTCATTAGGCAGCTCAGTCTGGGGGCCAGGAAACCCCTGTCTACTTCAGGGGGTGGGAAACCCAGGCCTGGGGGCAGGGAGGTGGGGGAGAGAGAGAGAGAGAGAGAGAGAGAGAGGGAGAGAGAACAGCTGGAAATCCCAAGCCTCAGTGTGCCTCTTTGTCCCACGTTATGTCAATGGGCTCTGAGTTGCCATGTACAAACCCACCCTCTGGTGACCAGGGGTGGGCATCAGGAAGGCCCTGGAAGCCCTGGAAACGGTGGCTTGTGGGCAGCTGTTGGGGATGATTTGATTTTTATGGAGAAGAAGATCGAAGGTGTCCATCATAGTCTTCCAAGGAGTCCGTGATCCCAAACATGGGTTAAGGACTAGTGTTTCAGACCCGGCTTTGGTGACAGATTGGGATTTGGGTGAGAGATATAAGACTGACTGAAGTGTGGCGGTGATGCCAGACCTGGAGTCAAATCCTGCGTCTGCCCCTGATGCCACCTGACCTTGGGCAAGTCACTACCTTCTGTGGGCTTTTGTTTTCTTCCCTGTAAAATGGGGATGATATCACTTACCCCCCAGAGTCATGGTCAAGAATTAAACGAAGAAACAGATAGGAAGGGCTTAGCAGATAGTATGTGTTCAGTAAGATGGCAGCCGAGGAAGCACAGGGCTCTAGAATCCTCACGCCCTCGGTACTGCCTCTTACCAAGGGCCCGCTCCTTCCCTCCCATCTACAGAGAGCCTCACTCGTTTTCCTTTCCTCCTGCCTGCCCCACAGCTGAAAAATATACCCAGAACTTCTACTTGGACCTGAGACAGAAAAGGGACTTTGACAAGTACCCGGGCATCCTCTACCGCCTCCTGGGGAATAACAAGCTGCTCTTTGAGGACGTCAAGGCCAATGTCACGGAGATGTTGGCGGGGGGCGTGGACACGGTGAGGAGGCCTCAGGGACACCCCTGTCCCTTCCTGTGGCTGTGCCCCTTCCGCACTGGCCTGCCTCATTGGAAACCCTGCCCCTGAGGGGTAGAGCTCCCTCTCCTGGCTCCATTTCCTAAATACTCATCTCCTAGGAGGGTAAGGTCAAGTCAGTCACCCACGGAGCATGTCTTGCGGTTGATCCATCGTTTTTTCTTTGTCTATGAGAAGGGAGGGATGAGGCATAGGTAGCCAGCCCATGGAGTCTGTAAAGGACAAGTCCTTCAGTAACAGGTGGGGGATACAGCTCCCTGGATTCAGGAAGCCTGGCCAAACCTCAGGAAAGCTGGGAGCCGGTGGAACCTACCTGGGCGCTTTCTTGCACGGCCTTTTCTGCCTCTCCACAGGCAGCACAATACCACAGGGAATTCTCTTCCTGAACATCAAAACCTGTCTTCCTGTGTACCATCCCCTTCTCTAATATCTTAAACTTTCTCATGCTAATATGATAGGGAGGGCTCATTATTTAGTGTTTATTGATGACTAGTTATGATTCAGGCACTGGGATCATAAAGATGAATACAACAGACCCCAAATGTTTCAAATGGCTCAGAGAGGTGGAGTATATTAGTTTGCTGGAGCTCCAGAACAAAGTACCACACACAGAGTGGCTTAAACAATAGACATTTATTTTTCTCACAGCTCTAGGGCTAGAAGTCCAAGATCAAGGTGTCAGCAGGGTTGGTTTCCTCTGAGGCGTCTCTCCTTGGCATGCAGGTGCCATCTTCTCCCTGTGTCGTCACATGGTCCTCCCTCCGTGTATGTCTGTGTCCTAATCTCTTCTTTTTTTCTTTTTTTTTAAGATTTTTATTGGGGAATTGGGGAGATGGGAACAGCGCTGGGGAATTGGGGGAAGGGGAACAGACAAGTTGCTGTCATTTTGTTCTTCAGTCTAATTGTGGAGGACGTTGCTTCACTGGCCCAAGTTGGCACCATCATTGCGCTCTCTCCTCTTCTTATAAGGACACAAGTCCTATTAGATTAGGGCCATCTCATTGTACCTTAATACCTCTTCAAACACCCTATCTCCAAATATAGTCACATTGTGAGGTACTGGGGGTTAGGACTTCAATATATGAATTTGGGGGTGGGGACACAATCCAGCCCATGACAAGGAGGCAGTAAGTACACAGATGCCCACCACACCGTGTTATAGGGCTGGATGGGCAGGCATGTACCAGGTACTGATAATGCTGGGAAGAGGGGCAAGAACCCCATGGCCTTGTAAGTCAGGGACCGTGCTCCACAGAAGAGCTAAAATTCAGCTCGTGTCTTGAAGGCACCAGAAGGAGAAAGGAGGAATAGCATTTCAGGACTAGGGAGAAGCATGTGTCAGTCCCCTGGGTGAATAACTGCTCCCTAGATATCTTATTATATTGTGCTCTAAGGGGAGACTTTAAGTCCCTGTGACAGGCTGCAGATGGAGTCTTTGAGCATATTTTAAGAAGAGATCGCCAAAAAAATACTCACCTGCACCAAAGCAGCTATTATTGTTAGGTAACATTTATTCAGCCCATACTATATGGCAGGTAGAATCCTAAGCTTTTGACATGTATTAACTCAATTAGTATTCTCAAAACTGTGACATATGTTGCTATTATCCCTCTTTTTCAGGTGAGAAAACTGGGGCACATAGTAGTTAAATAACTTAGTTAAGGTCACACTGCTAGTAACTTAGTTGACTACCTTTGTACACAATTATTTCCTGAGTAGCCCCTCCATAGAGGTTGGAGAATAGACTGGCTTCCTAGGCTGGGAAGGGAATTCTAGGAAGAGGAAACAGCATGACAAAGATTTCCGGGCTTCAGGGGCTGGTAGCTCAGTGCAACTTAACTATGAGGTGCCTGTTGAAGGCGGGGGTGCGGGGCTGCGAGCAGCAAGCAGGTGTTGGGGGTCCTGTAGGTCAGGTCAGAGCCTCTGCACTTGATCTGGGGGAATCAGGGAGCCAGGCAAGGATTTCAAACTGGGAAGTGACTGGATGGCACTTTTTTCATGATATTCTGCTGAGAGGAAGAGGGAGGGTGTCTAAACCTCGTGGACAGAAATGTGCTCCTAGATAAGATAACATGCTGACCTGTGTCCTAGCCCGAGAGAGAGGGCTACCCCAGCCTGGGGTCCCACCACAGAAGGACCTGAGACTGTGGGCTTGATGAGGGCCGCTTATACCTCCAGGGAAGAGCTAATAGTCATGACCCCCCGCTAACATTGGGATTAGCTGGCTCATTGCAGTATATACCACAAGCTAACTTCAACAGGGACAGGAACCAGGTCTGATTGTTCTGGTTCCGGTATCCTAGGTAAATGTGAAGGTTTGGGCAAGTTCTGTTGGAGAAAGGGCTGCATGTTTAATCAGCATTTCTAAAAGAATGGTAGTCCATCATTGGGACAACTGTCACAGGCGTGGGCTCTGGCCTCTGTGGGCCTCTGCAGTCTTTTGCAGGAAGGCATTGGCTGTGTGGGTGCCCTCTGCTGGCTGGGAAGACAGTGGGCTCTGGCAACAGGAGGGCCAAGGGCAGGAAAAGTGCTGCCCCAAACATTCCTACCTGGGCAGGAGGAAGACTTCTTGGGCCTATGCCTTTTGAATTGGGCTTTGCTTTTGCAGGTGATGGTCTCTGGACACTGGGATGAGGGTAGGGAGGGGTTTTTGGAAATGAAAATGTAGCATGGGTCTGGGTGTCCCAGGAGTGACAGGCACTCCTGGTCTTCTGTGCCCCCACACTCCCTGCCAGACATCCATGACACTGCAGTGGCACTTGTACGAGATGGCACGCAGCCTGAGGGTGCAGGAGATGCTGCGGGAGGAGGTCCTGGCTGCCCGGCGCCAGGCCAGGGAAGACATGGGCAAGATGCTGCAGTTGGTCCCACTACTGAAAGCTAGCATCAAGGAGACACTGAGGCAAGCCCACACTCACTCCCCAAATCCCGGGCAGGGTTACCTGGGTTACGAGGGGGCAGATTTACGGGCTGGTGGAGGGGAATAGTAGCAGAAAGTGAGTCTAGGGGAGACAGTTGGGAGTGAGGAGGAAGAAATAGAGTCCAGGTCCTGCCTCCAGATACCCCGTTCTATCCTATCCACCTCCCCCCACCCCCACCTGTGCTGCAGCTGAGACTTGTGCTAGGCTGGGTGAGGGCTTTGTCTGGGCTTCTGGGCATTAGCTTCTGAATGCTTTCCTCTGTAGACTCCACCCCATCTCCGTGACCCTGCAGAGATATGTGGCAAACAACTTGGTTCTTCGAGATTACATGATTCCTGCCAAGGTAGGTAGAGCAAGAGGGCTGCAGACAGAGGCTGGGGGCAGACATGCAACTTCATGCAGATGCCTACAGATGGTGGCGACAGGGGCTTCTGTCCTGCCTTCCTGGAGCTGCTTGGTGGGTCCTTGGCAGCAGCAAAGTTTGAATGAAGGGCAGAGGTGGTAGGCACAGTGGGTGATGATGTCTGGACTGTTGCTCAAGCCCAGGGTTAGGAGGGAGACCCCCCCCCAGGCTGCCTGGTCTCTGGGGCCCTCGAGTGCTGAGGAAAGGGCAGCACGATCCTTTGGGCCCTCCTTGGCCTGGTGTTTTCAGTCATGCCTGTTTTATGGGCGAGGCTCAGGGAGGGGTGGGATCTTGTTCAAATTCCCACAGTGGGCAGTGTCTGTGCTGAACAGCGGGCAGCCAGGCTGGGGAAGAGGACGGGGAAAGCTGGGCTGCGCTCCCCGCCGTGAGGGGGTGAGGCCTACTCAGCCTCTCGTCACCTTGTTTCCAGACATTGGTGCAGGTGTCTGTCTATGCCATGGGCCAGGACCCCACCTTCTTCCACAATCCGGGTAAATTTGACCCCACCCGATGGCTGGGTAAAAACAAGGACCTCATCCACTTCCGGAACCTGGGCTTTGGCTGGGGCGTTAGGCAGTGTGTGGGCCGACGGATCGCTGAGCTCGAGATGACCCTCTTCCTCATCCATGTGAGTCTGGCCCCGGTCTTAATAAAGGCCCCAACCCTCCTATACGCCCATCGATGTCCAGAGCCCTTTCCCACAATTCCCGGCTACTTCTCATTTTAGGCTAATCCACTTGTGATTCGTTGGTGCCCCCCGGCCATCTGTTCCCCCACAGCGGTGATGGGATGGGGGTGGAGTGGGATAAGATTTTGTAGAAAGTAAAGTGAACGCCTGAATCAAGGGGGCAGCACTAGCGGTGTTTCCAGGCACTGCAGGGTTAGGTAGGAGCTGGCGTGGACTCCTGGAGTTCCTCACATCACACTCAACAGGCACCGCCTACAAGTGCAATAGCCTGGCCCAGGGGAGAGGGATCCTCTCCATCTCTCCCCTAAGCCCACCATCCCCTTTCTCAGATTCTAGAGAATTTCAGAGTTGAAATCCAACATCTCAATGACGTGGGCACAGCATTCAACCTCATCCTGATGCCCGACCAGCCCATCTTCTTCACTTTCCGGCCCTTCACCCAGGACCCACCCGCAGTGTGATCAGAGAGGGTGGGGGGGGGGGAGGAAGGCCCGAGGGGTGTGGCCTGTGGAGCTACCTGTGTCCTCAGCCTGCTCCTTTCTGCCCCAGCTCAGCTGAAGCACTCCTCTTTCACTCAACTCTTCCCCTCTTCACCTACCCCATGACGGCAATAAAGGACTGAACTACGCGAAGTGTTTTCATTTCCATCTGGCCCCTAAGGTATCCATCACTCCTGTGGAGATGCTCCCTGGCCCAGGTCAACAGTTGGACCTGAGCAGGAATGGGGGATCTGAGGCAGCCATGCCTGAAGCCATTTCTGCTGAGATCCACACACCTACAGCAGCTCAGGAGCCAGGAGGATCAAGCCCCCTGCTGCCTAGGGCTGGGGGCGAGGTAGAGCTGATGGAGGGCTATTGCTACTGTGCTGGAGGCAGCAGGCAGAGGGAGAGAGAACCCGGTGGAACTGTGCTGAGAGAACAGAGCAGCCTGCAAGGTGTGGGCCAATCATGGCTTCCGGGGCAGACCCCCCTCTCAGGGGTGAGGCTCATGCAAGGTTCTGTTTGGCTGAACCCTGGGAGGGAGGTCCCGGTGGAGTCATGACTTCCTGCCAAGGTCCAGCCAGAATCTTGGGCATGGCCAGGGCTGAGGCCTGTGGGTGAGGGCTTGGTGTGAAGTGGCTGACCCTGGGACAAAAGGCCAGCATGCTTCCTCTTCCCCACCTGACCCTTCTCTGGACTTCCCCTGGCCTCAGCTTCCTGCTCTAGGGGGACATGCCCACTTGTCCAAGCTCTGGGCGGAAGGCAGGGGGACTGCATCAGCATCTTTGGTCCATTATTTGAACTGCCTGACACTGGTCCCAATTTTGGCCCCCTCCACCCCCTCTGAGTCCCATATCTCCCAACCTGAGCAGGTGCCTGATCCTTCCTGGCCCTTGGCTATCTGATCCTAAGTCCCGCAGGCAGCAGGGACTGCAGCCCAGCTGGCTTGAAATCTTCCACCAGAAACTGCAGGTTCTGAGTCTGCTCTTGGAGCTTTCTGTTTTTTCCCATCACAGTCCTCTTCCTTGTCTCTCTCCTTCCAGTTTCCTTTCTCTTCTCCTGGCCTGAGTCATCTTGACTCAGGAATGTTAAAGCTGGAAAGGGACTTACCATCAAAGAGGGCAAGCTCTGCATGGGATAGATGGGAAAACAGAAGCCTTGAGAGGTTGCTTGAGTCACCCAAGGTCACACAGTATGCTTGTAGCTAGAACCAAGAGCTCCTGACTCTCCGTGGAGGACTCCTTACCATAGTCCCATCTGCTTTCCTGTCGCTGGCTACATTGGATACCATATGGCAGGCTCAGCCTAGCCCTGGTTATCGGGTATTTCACACGTATCATGTAACGATTGCCATAGGCAGGCTTCAAGTCTCCCCACTCCCAAGAAACAGATAAACCAAACTTAAATGAAGGGATTTCAGTTATGATTGATGTTTGGGGGCTGGTGGAAAGTCCCAGCATCCCTCCCATCTCCTAACAGAGTTGCCTCTGGTGATCTCATTCTTCCAGAGGTCTGGAAAGAGCTTGTCACCCTAGCTCCTGCTTTGGAAAGACTCTTCTCCTAGCCGGGTCCACTATGGCTTTTGGCCCTGCAAAGATGGTAGCTCCTAGGACAGGCTATAGAGCTGTAGCAGAGGGCCAGGCACAGAGTGGGGTCTGAGAGGAGGAAGCCGGGCCCTCCAGGGTGCCCTGCTCCAGGAAAGAGGCGAATGCTCAGTGATTTACAGCGTTTCATGAAGTCATTTTTCGGGGATGGAGATGAGATGCCCCAGCACACAGAGGGGAGGCTGCTCCAGTACTCAGGTCTGCTGGGAGTTTGAGGGCTTGTTGATCTTAGTCTCTGAGCTGGGCATCAAGGTGTCCAACTTTGAGGGTGGCCCGTAGTCCTTGGAGTGGGTTGAGGGGTTCTGCATTGTGCAAAGCAAAATGAGGTGAGTCTACCCTTGCCCCCCAAATTCAAATGCATTTTGCCTAGCAAGCCATGTCTCAGAGGGCCATGACTTTTCAAAGACTTCCAAACCCATTTAACCACAGCAGATCATATCCAATTTCTCCAAAAGTTCCCAGGATTCAGCAGGTGAGTTTGCAAAGGTAACCCTGTGTGCCCTGTCAGCGCCCCCCCATCTTTTTCACTTGGAAGTGAGCTGAGTACTGATGGCTCAAGAGTAGGAGCAATCAAGGCTTTTGCTTTGGGGGTTGGGTGGCCTGGGCTGAGCTTGAGGGCAGTTGTGAGCAGGTCTATTTGTTCTTGCAAAGCTGGTAGTGTTTCTCTCTGGCAACATGCTCCTATCCCTGGCAGGCCTGCAGCATTGCAGTTTCCCAAGAAGGGTATGCTCATGGGACAATCTTAGGCACTGTGAGTTGGGTGGCAGTCACAGCTCCTCTGCCTATGAGCAAATCCAGTTCTAAAGTTCAGCCAGTGCCAGAGCATTCGAGAAGTGCCCACATGGGCAACTCTTCATCCACAGCCATCTCCCTGATTCTCACAATCACCACATGGGAGGGGATCATTTGGGCAGGGTTTTCTATTCCCCTTAGACAAGTGGGGCATTGAGACGAGGTAAGGGCTTCTGTTGGTAAGAGTAGAAGCTGAGCCCAGGTCCTTTGACTTCCAGCTGGGGAGCTGGGCCCCCTGTACAGTTTTTCTCAAGGCCCGGGGACTTGGGGTGGGGGTTGCCAGCTCTACCGCCCGAACCCCAGGGAACTCCTCCAGAGAGACCACTCACAGGCAGGTTTGTGATGATGGAGTTTGAGGGGTGCCCCAAGCCGTACTCTTGCTCCTGCAGCCGTGTGGCCAAGTCCTGCTTCTCTCGTCCCCAGCGTCGAGCTGAGTCCTCTAACTGCCAACATGGAGAGGAACAGATGGGGAACCACGAGACAACAGGGCCCATCCCTGAGATCTGGGACAACCAGAGCTTCAGCTTACTCTCTGGGCAGAAAGCTAAACCTGGACAATGTAAGCTTGCTACCTTCCCAAGAAACCTCAGGGGTGGCAGGGGTGGGTAGAGAGGGGCCAAGTAACAGTCTAACTGAGACACAGATGGATCCTCTCTTAATTCCAACAACATACTGAGCCCTGTCCCTGAGTTGACACTGATCCTTGACTCTGGTCATAGACTGAGCCCTGATCCAGCTCACACACTGAGCCCTGACCCTGCTCATACACTGAGCCCTGATCCTGGTCACAGGCCGAGCCGTGAACCTGCCCAGCTTGCCCAACTCCTGTGTCTCACCTACCTGGCTTTCCAGGGACAGAATCCGGCTCTGAGCTCGTTCTAGCTTAGCCAGGAGGTTAAACTTGTCTGAGGTATTGGCAAGGAGATCCTGTGGGCAAAGCGGAAAATACACGTGGCCCCAGTTGGGTGCTGTGGCCAAGTGAGCTCAGGAGGCGAGGACGTGCTGAGGGAGGAACCAGCAAGGTCTGAGTTCCAAACTCAGCTCCCCAGTGTGGTGCCTCAAACCTAGGTTTGAACCCTCTTCCTGGAGTTCAGACCTGGCATGGCATGTGCTTTTTTTCACAGTTGTTCTCCCCACAGAGTTTGGGTATATGATTTTTTTGCACATCAATTTTTAAATGTAAAATGCACAAGGAAGTGCCTGTTAGTGCACAGAAAGGAATCTTGAACTGGGAGTTTTTCTGTAAAGTGAAGAGCCTGTTTGTGAAGCAAGGGGTCCCCAGTTCCCAGCACTTTACCTGGATGTCCATGAGTTAGGTGTGCTTTTAAACAGAACTCATCTTCTGTGAGTCCTGGGATGAACAGAAAAACTCTCCTGTGCCTTAGGCCACCCCTCTTCTGTAATTCAAATGTCCTGTCTTTGGGTTTGCATAAACCAGGGGCACCTGTAGCAGCCTCAGACGTGGAGCAGGGCCAAGGCATGTCTGGGGCCTGGGGCACCCACCTGTGCAGGCTGGGTTTCTGTGCGCTTGGAATGGCCTGGGCCATCTGTTTCTCGCAGCTTCTCTGCCAGGTCTCCTGCTCCCAACTCCTGGGGGCCCACCTGGGATGGGGGAGAAGGGCTCTCGAGGCCTGTACCGGTCCCAGGAAATGCTCCAGATCAGAGTTTCTGAGAGGTCTGTGTGGAGTCCAAGTGCAGGCCAGCCAGGTGGTAAAAAGGATCAGGGGTCAAGGGCCAGTTTGGGGCTTGATTTCTCCCAGGATGCTAGATAAGGGTCAAGGTGAAGCTTTGAGACCCATGTGTGTTTCCCAGGAGAAAGAGCAAAGCCTGAGAGCTGGCACTCCAGGAGATGCCAGGCATGTTCGAGACCCTGAGAAGCCAAGCTCCTGGTCTTGGTCTTCAACTTGGATTGTGCTGAATAATGGCTGCGCACCCAGTGACGTGCATGGGCAGGCCAGGCCAAGCCTGTGCCAGTGGTTCTTACCGGCAGGGCCTGTTGCTGCAGAATGATGGGAGCCAACTGGCGGTGGCGGCTATTATCCAGCTCTGCCCGCAGCCTCGAGTTCTCGGCCAGCAACACGGAGTAAAGGTCAATAGGCTGGTTCTCTCCCGTAGGACCTGAGGGAAGGCCAGAGGCTGAGAGCATGGGGAAGGCTGCAAAATGGTCACAGAGTTTCGTGAGTTGGGCTCTCCTGCCTCCACGTCCCTGGCCTGATCTGCCCCAGCATTTTGTTCCATTCTGTCCCTCCTCTGCTCCCAAGACTTCAATGGCTCCCCACTGCCAGTAGGATCAGGTCCATGCTCCGCAGGCCATCGTCTTTGGCTCTTTAGAATCTGACCTGAGTGCTCTCCCTAACCATTCCCTAGCCATTTGTCCTGGGTCTGTTTGTCTTTCCTCCCTTCTCTGCTCTTGGCATGGTCACTCTGTGGGCCTTTGCTCTGGCTGACTCTCCTCCCCTCCCCAGGTCGCCTTCTTGTCCCTCAGCCCACTCCTAGATGACCTCAGGGTTCCTGAAAGGTGGCTCCTACTTTCGTTGTTTTCTGAAGGCATTCAGAAACTCTCACCGCCAGCCCCATGCAGTGAAGGATGGGCACTCAGGGGTCCCTGGGGAGGCTACACAGACGGGCCCAGGGACATCGTCTGCCTGGGCTTGCCTGATATGGTGCGACCTGGTTCTCTCCTGCTCAAGGGAGCCACCTCTGAATGGCAGCTCTATGAATGGTTAATACCAGCGGAGAAAACAAACCATCGATTTAACCGAAGTATTTTTTGTTTGTCTGTTTTGTAGAAGCAGACTCTTTGAAGATATCGGAGATGAGGAAAAACCTGAAGAGTCCTGGAGTTTAGAAGTTGAGAATTTCCCAGGTAGCCCCTTTCTGCTCGCTCTAGTCTGCAGGGCCTCTCCCCTGTAGCTCCTACCTCTTCCTAGTCTGGCTCATACACAGTCCCGATGTGTCCTGCGGGGTTCCCTGGGTAGAGAAGGGAGCTCATGGGACCTCTGGAAGAGCTCAGAGCCTGGAGGAGTAGATGAGCACCACCCTCTGCCTCAACTGGAAGGTGCTCCTGGAACTAGGAAGCTCCAGGAAGGCAGGACCTCGCCGGAGGGGACAAAAGCAGCGGAGCAGTCTCACCCACACGGGGCTTCCCCTGCAGCCCGTTCAGCAGGGGCTCGCTCCTCTCCCGAAGTCTGTCATTCAGCACCCGCTCCATCTTCCTGATCACCTGGAGGGCAGAGCACAGAGGCTGGGCTGGTCTAGGGGCTCCACACCTTCCCTCTGTGGCTCGACCCTGGCGGTCCGGCCCCTCTGGCCCCTGCCTTCTCCTGGTGCTGCACGGTCTCCTCCAGCGCCTTCATCTTCTGCAGCCTGTCCTGGTGCTGCTTCAGCAGTGCAGCCTGTGGCTGCTGAGCCTGGTACAGAAGAAGCAGCTCCTTCTCTCGATCATTCTTCTGGTGGTGGGGGAGAGAAGAGGATGGGAGAGAGAAGGGGTACCGGGTGTCACTCTTGGTCTAGAGGGTCCGCTTAGGCCCCTCTGCTGAGTCCTCCACTGTGCTGCCCACCCCTGCTAGGCCCCCCTCCCTTCTGCTCCCAGACACTTCTCTGCACGCTCCTGCCCTAGCTCCCTTCCCCTGGACTCCCCATGCCCACTGCCCCACAAGCCCCAGCTCACTCGAATCAGTTCATTCTGCAGAAGCTGCACCTTGTCCCTCAGTTGCTTAATGTTCAGCTCGCTTAGCAGCAGTTTCTGCTTCATGGACACTGGTAGGAGGGCAGGGAGAGCTGGTTCAGGCAGGGGGCATCTCCCAGCTCATATCAGTATAGTTGGGGGACAGGGGCAGGTATCTCTCAGCCCTGGGCCTTGAGGCAGGACTGAGTTCTCCGTTTCCCATTCCGGAGAGGGCCCCACCAGTTCCTACCAGCCTGTGTCCAGTAGCATGCCCATCTGGGAAAAGTTCCCTGCCACCTTGTGCCAAAATCCAGAGCCAGGGCTCGGGTGGGTGCCCGGAGGCCCTTGGTGGCCTGTGTGCCCCTCACCCAGCTTCTGGGTGTCGTTGGCGTTGTCCTGCTCCTCATCCATGTCCTCCTGGGTCACGTGGCTCCTCAGCATGCAGTTCTCCGCCTCCAGGATGCTGGCCTGTTTCTGCAGTAACAGGATATCCTCGGCCATCTTCTGCAAGGCCCGCCGGTAGTTGTTCATCTCCTATGGATCCCAGAACTCAGAATTGAGCCCCCAGGTCACACCTGCACCCACATTTGGAAATCCATGGGTCACCCCCAAGGCCAATGAACAGAGTGAACCCCAAGCTATGCCCTCAAGTCTCAGCAGTTCCTCAGAAGGGACTGTGCCCCTCGGTCTGTGCCCCTCTTGGCCATGTGAGAGATATCACACTAAGGCTCTCTCCCAAGGGCCATGTTTCTTCCTCTGATGCCAACTGGGGGGACTCAGGGCTCAGACACCAGGTGAGGAAGCCTGTGAGATACAAGGACTTGAAAGGACCTGGAGCCAGGTTTCTAGGGACACTTCTCTGTCTTTTCCTGCTCCCTTTCCACTTTTCTAACCCCTCTCCTTTCTCATGTCACTGAGAACCCAGGGAAGAACCTTTCAGAAACCCCACTGAATGGCACTTGGGAGCAGACCCCAGGGACCAGGCCCCCTCTCCCCCCAACCAGCTCAGGGGTCAGGCAGGGACACCAAGTAGACTGGGGAGACCCAAATAAGGGACCAGGGCTGGGATCCTGCTACATGATCTGGGGTGTGAAGTGGGCCGGGATGCCAGGCTCTGTCAGCGGGTTAAGAAGAACAATAAACCTAGTGTCTGGCGTTCACTGAGCATTTACTACATTTCAGGTCAGGAGCAGGCCTCCCTCATTTAGTCCTCACCATAAGCCTGTGAGGTCGGTACTTTCATCACCCTCATTTTGCCAACAAGGCAACCAAGGCCCAGAGAGGCAAGCAACTTGTTCAGTCACAAAACTGTGTGGCAGAGCCAAGGTCTGAGAGCCGGGCCTGCTGGCACTCGAGTCTGTGTTCTTAGGTACCATGCATTCCTGCCATGATGCCTCCGTGCATGGAAACATCACAATATGTGGAGACGTGATAAAACAGGTTACTAAAATAATTATCAATGGGAAAATATTCATGCTGCCCTTATGTATGCATAGGAGAATTAACAGGCCATACGAGTATTTACATGCATTTGTTTCATAATCAGAAATTCCCTCCTGTTATTTAGGAAAAGTTTCATAGAGGGAGTTTCTTAAATCTAAACAGCGCAAAATATAAAAAAGGGACCCAAAATGTGAAGCCAGAATGGTCCCTAGAAGGGGAGGAGGTGGGCGCTAGGTTGGGGGAGGAGGGAAGTGAGGCCTGCAGGAGTTTGCTGAGACCTGGTGCCTTGGCCTTCCTGAGGCCGTGGAGGCCTTGCAGTGGGGTGGGGGCTCCTAGAACTGCCAGGCTCCGAAGTCTCTGGAAAGCAGAGCTTTGCCCCCAGCTCCCACCTAGGCCTTATGCTGACTGGGGATGTGGCCTGGCTCCCAGCTGCTGCCACCAACCTGCTGCAGGGTGGCCACTGGCTTTTGGGGGAGGGGATGCCAGACAACAGGGGTTCATCAAACCCCACTTGCTACCTGCTGCTAGCTAGCCTTCTGTCTGGACTCCCTGTAACCCGCCTGTCTCCCCAGCACCTGCCCCAGTCGAGTGCCAGGTCTTGGCTCCCCTAGATCTGTCCATCTGTGGTGTCCCCAGGCAGCTCTGTTAACTAGGGGCTAGCCCAGACCACACACACACACACACAGGGCTTTGTGCTCAGGCCCCAGTCATAGCCCAGCTTGGCCACTGCCTTGCTGAGTGAGTGCAGATAGGCCCCTCCCCTGTTCTGAGCCTCAGAGTCCTCCTACAGGAGAAGCATAGGTTGCTGCCGGGCTCAGAGTCAGTGTGTGTGGTGGCTGGCACAGGGCCCTGCCAGAACAGCCATGGCCTGGAGGTAGCTGTTCTCATCCCACCCCATTTCTGTTCAGAGGACGCTTTATCAGCAAGTCAGATGCCTTCCTCTTCCTCCTGGCTGCCATCACTCATCACTTAGGAGAACAGCTTGGATACTGGCTACTGTTAAAGTTGAATGTCTGCGGAGCGTATGATCTAGCTATTGTACGCCTGAGTACATGCCCAATAAATACACAAGTGTGACTGCTTCAAGAAGCAGCAGTTAGGACATTGCTATCAGCTTTATTTGTAATAATCCCCAACTGGAAACAACACAAACGCCAATCACAGTAGAATGGAGAGAGTATTACAATGGAATGCTACACAGTAATAAAAACGAGTCAATGCTAGCTACATGAAACCACAAGGAGGAAGCTCTCAAACAAAGTTGGACACAAAATACCGACTCCATGATTCCATACAGGTTTGGTTCAAAAACAGGCAAACTCAAGCAGTGAAGTTAGAAGTCGGGGTGTGGGATCCCTGTGGGGAGGTGGCACGGTGACTGGGAGGCACTAGGGAGCTACAAAGGTGCTGGCAATGCCGCACCCCTTGACCTTCCCTGAGCACCTACTGTGCACTTTGTAATGATTCATCAGAGTGAGTGCACTTATGTTTTGTGTATTTGTCTGAATGTGTGTTGTATTTCACATAAACAGTTGAAAACATTTAACAAATAAAAAAACAGTGAAAGCCTGGCTCTAGTTTGGTTAAGTACACAAAGGTTCCACATTGCTACCTTCCTCTGGGGACCCTCCCGGTTCCAGCAACAGTGAGTTCTCCCTGGCCCTGAGCTGTGGGTGATCCCGTGGGTCCTGCTCCTAGGCCCTCACTGCCCCCTCTGCATCCTGTGAGGCCTCACCAATCCTATCCTGGAGGGTCGGGAAGATTCAACTCTGCCTCATTGCAGGGCCCTCTGAAAACAGGGAGGCATACACCCCGAGCCTTGTCGAGGGCTGACACGATGCCTCAGAAAATCTTATGAGATTCAGGTTGGTTCAGTGATGTAAGGTCCCACTCCCTGCAGACGGAGAGCTAGCATTGGATCCGAGACTCCGCTCTATAACCTGTGCTCTTTGCACCTACTCGACTGAGGAAGGTTGGGGACCTTACCCAGAGGGAAGAAGAATGGCTTGATTTTGAGCTGAATCTGTCGACAGAAATTAAGGGGCACTGATGGGGGAGGTGGCCAGCATAAGGCCATCTGATGTCCTGAGGCCTCATTCTGCCTTTGTCCTCGAGGACAAGGCTGTCTTGGGTGTAGAGGTGGAAGAAGAGATTCCCCTGCCTGCTCTTCAAGGAGCTAGACGTGCCCAGGCTTCCCTGTGTCAGGAGAGGTGGGCGTGTATCTTCATCTCACTGTCCCCCCTGCTCCTGGCCTAGCACAGTGTGAAAACAACAGATTTGAATAAGCCAGCCTGACCCATTGCTGGCTCACCAGCTTCTCCTTCAGGTGGGGTTTGTACAAGGTTGGGGTACAGGGAGAGGGGCTCTGGGTAAGGAAGAACCCTGCTGGATGCTGGAGTCAGGGCACCTTAGCCCGTGTGTGTGCGGGTAGATGGCTGAGATCTTCATGGCTATGGCTCCGAGTGAGCTCCTGAGGTTTACACCAGATGCAAAGTCTGAGTCCTGGTGTTCAAGGCCTCTTATAAGCTACCCGCCCACGCACACTAGCCCAGCCTTCTCCTCCAGCACAGACTCTTATTCCCCCTTCACACCTCCACTCATACTGAACTATCTGCAGAGAACCCTCTCCGCTTTCTCATGGCCTAACCTGTTGTTTTATAGTCCACCCAACCATTTGTAATCCCATGAGGACTGACAGTGCATGTGTGGGAGTGTATGTGTGTGCATGTGTGCACACAGGCATGGGCATGGAAGGGGTCCCAGGGGAAGGGGCTGTCAGCCCCTCAGCCTACCCATGGGTCTGGTCTTCTCATTCAGGGCTTATCCTTTCTGGGATTCCATTGTTCTTCATCCAGCAGTCCCAGGGGTGTGCAAAGCTCTGTTCTTAACATCCCCCCTTGACAAAGAAAGCTGTGCCCAGATGAAGTGGGTGTCCTGCCTCAGCCAGATGGCCCCTGCTGGAGGAAGGGTCATGGCTTCTTTAGGACTCCACCCCTTGGAGATTAGCCTGATAGACCTTCCCAGGGCCCTAGTCACTCCCAGCCTGGCTGCTTTCTGAGCATGAGGTCCCCCCAGGGGGATGGAGAGAGACCCTTCCCCTGGCCTACCCCCCTCATTCTCTACCCTGGCCACTGCCCTCTGTCCATGAGATTCAGAGAGGTGGCACCCTGGCGGGCCTGCCCGCCTTCCTCAGTTTTGCCCACCCCCACAGCTGAGCAGTAACCTTGGGCAGTGCAGCTGGGCTGGGAGGCTGCAGCCTGACCTATCCCTGCAGAGTGGGCTGGGCTCCCCACTCAGGGACATGCTCTGCGTCACAATCCAGCTTTGAGAACACGCAAGTTACCATGCCTCGGATTCCTATTGTGATTCTGCCCCTCTACCTGCTCCCTCTTTCCCCCGGTTCCCAGCCTGTTTGAGCTAACACATCCTCTAGGGGCACTGATTCCACCTGTGACTGACTCTGAGTGCCCACTGCACCCCCTTACCCCCTGAAAGCCCACCAGGACCCCAGCCCTCAGGTGAGAAACATCAGGTGGCCCCAGGTTCAAATCAACTCCCTGCCATTAAGTGTTGGTGGCTTTTGTTGTGGGAAAGGAATTAGTCCCACCTCAGGGGTGGCTGTGGAGTGAGGGGACGTGAGGAGGGGCAGCCAGGCCCTGGCACACAGGGTGCCTGTAAACAAACTCAATGGTAAAAAGCTGAAAGCTTTTTCTTTAAGATTAAGAATAAGACAAGGATATCGACTTTCACCACTTTTACTCAACATGGTTTTGGAAGGCCTAGCCACAGCAATCAGACAAGAAAGAGAAATAAAAGGCATTCAAATTAGAAAGAAGTAAAAATGTCATTATTTGCAGATGACATGATACTATGTATAGAGAACCCTAATGATTCCACCAAAAAAACTATTAGAACTAATACATGAGCTCAGTAAAGTAGCAAAATACAAAATTAATATTCAGAAATTTGTTGCATTTTTATATACCAATAACAAATTATCAGAAAGAAATTAAGAAAACAATCCCATTTATAATTGCATCAAAAATAATAAAGAACCTAGAAATAAATTTAACCCAGGAGGTAAAAAGACC